AGCCTCCTATTCAAGTCTATGGTGCTGCTCCGCAAACGCCCCGGCCGGCGTTTGCGGTGCGGTTGCGACGCGGTTGCGAGTCGTTTGCGGAGCAGTAACACCATTCAAACTTCATTATAGGCGCTCGTGGGGCGTTTTTAACGCTTGGCAAATGCCTAGCAACCTCCGCTAAACCGCGCATGTGGCATTTGCGAAGCATTAAAAACACTCCACAAACGCCGGACCAACTCTTGTCAAGCACTATAGGGGCATTTGGCAACAACTGGAAAAACAGTCAAGTGTGAAGGAGCCCTTAGTGCTACAGTTTTGCTAGATGAACACTGGATGGTTATGATCACATAAAGTGGCCACAAATCAATTTGGCCTGATGGAGAATAGACCTTGAAGCCAATGAACATAATGATGAACTGCTGTATCACCAGGTTCAGTACATGTCAAGTTATGTTTGTATATTTTCCCTGGTGAAGGCTGACTGACAGGTTAGTGCTGCTGTTACCCATAATCTCAAGAAGCAAAAAGCAATAAGGTGAGTGCTAAAGTAAAAGCAGCTAGCAACAGAGATAGTGACAATGAATCTCAGTATTCAAAATATAAACATAAAGTGCAGCACATATAACAATGATAGTGAATATGTAATATATAAAAAAAAATTACAATGGATATATCAGTGCAATCAGTCCAGTATCATATGTAAAGTCCTTCCAATATCAATCGGTGTGAAGGCAATGTGATAATGCTAATCACAAAACAGAAGATCTATGCAATCCACTCTCCAGCATCCGCTGGTCAGGTTACCTTCTACGGGAAAAGCTCACCACACGGAGCCCAAAGAGATGGTGTACATAGTGTAGTATTTATTCAAAATATATGCAAAAACATTCCACGTGGAAATAGCTTGTAACTATTAAACATGCAGCATACCAAGATGGCCACCGTTCCGAGGCATGGAGCCGGCGGCGGCACGTAGCCTCCACCCAATGCGTTTCATGCACATGCACGTCCTCCCCATGAGCTTTTCCCCTAGGAGGTAACCTGACCAGCAGATGTTGGAGAGTGGATTTCATAGATCTTCTGTTACATTGGCTATCTAACAAGTAGCCCTCTGGTGAATGTATAGTGGTGGTGGACCCCAGAGCACTGTGTGGACTGGGCCCTTTTTTTTTTTTTTTTTTTTGTGATTAGCATTATCACATTTCCTTCACACCATTTGATATTGGAAGGACTTTACATATGACATTGGACTAATTGCACTGATATATATCCCTTGTCATTGTTTTGATATATTACATATTCACTATCATTGTTATATGTGCTACACTTTATGTTTATATTTTGAATGCTGCTGTTTCCCAAAACCTTGCCCGGCTGAATATGGCTCTGGCCTAGTATGGCTCCTGTGTACCAGACATACAAGTTATAAAACAGCTTGGCAGCATTTAGCCTGGGTCATTTCATATACTCATGGGTGCTTGAGGGGCCACTAATTTCAAGTGGACCACTAATTTCAAGTGCAACTGTAGAAGAGACACCTTCCTTGGGAAGGATGCAATTGGAAACAGGGGGGTGAGTACAGGAGAATTCTGCAGAGGTTCAAGCCTTCACTTAATCCAATTCAGCATGGTCCCATGACCATGGGAACTTGCCGGACTTGGCCAGCAATGTCAGCTTTTTGCAAATGTTTCTAGCTTGTTGTTATGATTAGTTTACATTCCTTGTATTCAGCTCTCCTGCCCTTTTCTGTTATTGTAAGCGGTGTGGACTCCTGGATTTGCCTGTCACGATCCAGCATAATTGGTTGTCATCATGCTGGTGGCTGAGTCGTGCACATTTTTTTCTATGGTGTGGGTGGGCAGGCCATGGCAGTGCACGCTGTTACAGTAGTTGGGTCTACTGAAGCAGGGTGATCTGGTTCTGCACTGCAAATGCAGCTGCTGAAGGAGGCTTCTTCGTTTGGTTAGGTTCGTGTTCACCCTTATAATGTGATTGATTGCACTTATTATGAAGGCAGGCATGCTAAGCCAGATATATACTGTATATTGAAGAATGGAGGAGTAAGAGGAATGGTGAGGTGCAGTCAAATAAGTGAATGAGACAAATGCAGAGAAGAGTCAATGAAGAGCAAATCTACATAAACTGCAGTAAAGTACACTAATGTAAAGAAATTGGAGTAAACAAAGCTTGTGCCACCTTCAAGCTCTCTTCGTCCTATAGTAGGCTGCTACTGGAGAGAGGAGAGAGCAAAATCCTCCCACCAGCAGCTATTGAGGAAGGGAGAAGCTGATGTTGGGTTGGGTGGGGGAGCAACTTAGCCCAAAGCGCCCCTCTGCACCTAAAAGCCTCAAACTGCCTCTTGATTCAGTACTTTCCTCAAAGCCCTTAAGTTGCCTTCCCCCCCAGAGCCACACACAGGGCCTCCTTAGTTCAATGCACCCCCAAAAAGTCCCCCCATCCCAACCTCCTCTCCCTCTTCCCACGTAATGCCAAGGCAGTCCTCCTCTGACTAACATCACTGATGCAGCAGTATTTTTTCCTCTACTGACACTGAAACAGCTGTATTTTTTCTTCTGGTTTCCTCTCACGGGCACTGATACAGTGTTTTGTTTCATTCCAGTGACACCTATGATGCAGGGACATTTTTTCCTCACACTGATACCAGGACCGTACTTCCTTCAACACTGTTTTAATTCATTGCACTGGGCCCCAACCATTGGCACTATTTCAGTGAATGCCACAATCATCAAATACATTTTGACAGGCCGCAATTAGCCCCACCCCCACTTCTCCCTCTGTCCCACCATTCTCAGGCCCATTTATTTTCCAAGGTACTATGCCCCATGACCCTCTTTTCTACTTGTTGTGGCATATCCTAAGCCTGTGTGAGATTTTCTTTCATGTCACTAGAGGCTGAAGATGTTGCAGCAGATGCAGCAGGAAAATTTTGTGGAGGGGGATTCGGAAAGTGAAGAACGAGGAGAGCTCTGTGGTGCAAAGTCATGAGTTTCCTCATGCATATGGTACCCAAATGACTGTTACTCTTACACTGCAGGCAGAGACTAAAGATGGCAACGGTGCTGTCAGCAGCAGGTGTTTTTAAAAGGCCCACATGGCAGAGCTCTATAGCCCTGAAGATAGCAGTGGCCTTTTATTGTGGGGCAGATGGATTAGGATGGCAGCTCCCTCCAGTCCTCTCCCTCAGAATTTCCTTTCTCTCCAATCTCCATGCATGGTCTGCCACCTCATCAACCACTTCCTTACCATTACTGAAGCCCACTTGTTAGTAAATTCCAGCTGCTGAAACATCACTACCTCTTGCTGCATCCTGAATGATGTCCCCTCCCTCTATGGTCCTGATACTATTTTCCTGCGTCTCAATATTTGAAATAATATGCATACTTGTGTGCATGATTAAGATCATTCTTCTTCAGCCACTCAGCTACCTCTGGCACCTCTGCCTCTGGATGGTGCTGCCAGACCACCAGGACTGGTGCTAGACTATTTTGCACCCTAGGCAAGACCAGCTACTTTGCCCCCCCAAAATAAATAAATAAATAAATGAACAGTAGAAAATATTACATCAACAAAACATGAAACTGCTAAATTTCTTTTAATTGGCAAAAATAAGTGCCATAAGATGCCACAAGCACCAATATTAAAGAAAAAATATATATTAACCAAATATAAATGAACTGTATTAACCAGACAGAGAAACAAAAAATAAAGAGACAGAGTTACAAAACTCTACAGTGATTAGCAGCCACCAGCTGGCTTGCAGTAAGGGACTATGTCTGAGAGGAACACTGCCCAACTGCTGCACTGGCCCCAGACACCTGGCATCTTCCTCTGTCCTTTCTTCCTCCCCCTCTGCCTCCCCTCACCTCAGCTGAAGGATCATTCATGATGTGGCGGCATCTTGCACGATCAGTCAGCATCCACTCCCCTCTCCCTGAGCAGAGTCTGTCCCCCTCCTGTCACCTCCATGACCCGCCATCCTCCTAGGTTCGACTCACCTTTGATGGCTCCTGCCAGTGAGGACAGGCTGCCTCCCAGCACTACACCACTTTCCCATACACGTCGGGCCCCGATCATCCTACTCACATAGGGTTAACCCTGCAACCAGAGCACATCCCCGCCTATTGATTGGCTCCAGCTGTGTAGAATAAGGTGGAGCCAGTGCTGAACATGCCCCATTCGGTCACTAGTTGGCTCCCTGTTACAGCTGGAGGAATGTGTGTGCCAGTGTGTGTACCGGAGATGTATGGAGATCTTCCTTTCAGAGACCACTGACGACATGGGGTCCATCACTTCCCATCTTAGGAGGAACCAACACATCACTGCTACATGGAATACTGATATATATATATATATATACTAAATGGTCATGTGCGTGGACAGGCTGTGAGACAATTGTGCAATTGTGCAGAGTAAAGATACAATCATTCCTTCATAATTCCTTGTGTATGAGGAGAAGGGGACTCTGCAGAGAATGAAGAATTCATACAAGAGGTCCAGAGGTCACACAGAGTGAGTGCGGGCCTGTGCTGCGCCCAAGTGCCCCTAAGTGGCAGTTTGCCTAGTAGAAGCACTGGCCCAGAAGACCACCTCTTTGTCCTTCAGAACCTGCTTGCTCCTTACTACCTCTGCATGCAGAACCCCTGCCTCTCCCTTTAGACCTGCCTGACATTTTTAAGGGGAATAAATATGGAGTGCTTTGCTGCATACTAATTTACTGCACAAGTATGGGGTGATGTGCTTTAGAAAAGGGCCAGCTTTGCCTGTGTTAGGAACAAGTGTATGTTGCAGACCCCAAATTAAATAGAACAACAAAAAACAGCACAATAAATAGCATATACCTTCCCCCAAACACTAAACACTTTTTAACGTAGCAAAATTTTTTTATATATACAGCATATAAACACGCACGAAAGTGAATTGAAAGAAAATAAAAAACTGAATACTAAAAAACTGCAAGGTAAGAAAAGGGGTGCAGCAGCCAGCTAGACCAGATGGTATAATATGTAACTCACCGCACTCTGATCCACAATAATTTGGCAACTGCACAGACTGTCAGCTCTCTCTAAACCAGGGGCGGACTGACCATTCAAGCACTCGGGCACTGCCCGAGGGCCCGGGGTCAGTAGGGGGCCCCATGAAATGCCCCTGGTACCTTTTATAGGCTTTTTTGGGTGTGCTTTGAGTGTGGGAAGGACACAGGGGCCCCATGATCCCCTATTGCCCGGGGGCCCCATGCGTTGTCAGTCTGCCCCTGCTCTAAACTACTACAATCCAAACTGACACATGGCACATGGCTGCCAGGAACCCCCACCCTTCTATAATGAGGTTCCTGGCACATAGCAAAGCTCCCATTATTGTACCTTCTAATCCAGTTGATCTAATTTCCAAAGGCATGCAGTGCATCATGGTTACAAAGAATTTGGTCTGGTAAATTTCTCCTTTAATGTGCTTGAACCCTGAACATATGGGATTCACCCCAAACCTCATCCCAAGTTACCAGGAACATGAACTGGACAGAAGGGCATGATAATATGAGTCGGTTGGGGGAGGTTATGAAAGGTGCAAAAGCTGAGTGACTGAAAGTATATGCAGATAGAAATGGGTGAAAGTGGGCAAAGTATGTAAGTGATATCTTGTTATTGTAGTCATTTGCACTTTAATGCCTTTGCTAGAAATGTATTTCTTAGGGCACCAAAAGAAGCTTGCCCACTGCCTAAGAGTGCAGGAGCGGAAATCCAACACTGGCCATGCCACTGCCTCCTCACGTCTTCCATCCTTCTCCTTGCAGCAGGTAACAGTGAAAGGCTCGCTGTTTCTCTTAAAGGGGCAGCTCTGGTTTTTTCTGCAGGCTTCTCCATCACATATGGATAGTCAGACCAATGAGAGCAGACAAGAGTTCCTTTGGTTGCAAGTTCATGAGGCTTGGCTCCAGAGATATAATTGTGGCCCCAGCAAGTGGGATGGCAGAACCAGTTTGCTGGGCATTTGTTGTTGTATGCTAATCCAAATCAAAGCCCAACTCCAGCCCCCATTTTTTGGATAAAGTGGAAAAGGTATATAGCACTACCCCCTTAGGAGTTCCTACGTTTTCTGCACAGCCAAGCAACACACATCTTCTTTCTCTACAATTGGCCATGGAGACAGTAACCAGTCCTTAGGCTTGTTTTTTGTGATTTTATTAAGGGGCAATAAACTTGGATGGGGTTGAGGGATACATGGGAGGCCCAAGGAACTATGAACTGGGAGGACAAACTATGTTCAAGTCTATAGACAGGCAGCAAAAATCTGTCTCTTCTTTCAGAGCACTCCTCTCCTGTGAACCTTCTCAGACAACAGATAAATCCTCCTCTTCACCCAGAAGTACTAAGGGTATTTCTCTGGGCAAGAAGATCCAGAAGCTGCCCAAAATTCAAACAGTCCCGGCTGAGGAGCTAGTTGGGTTCTCCACTTGACTTCCCTCTCCCCTTATCCAGCCCAGGGGGTGTAAGGTTACTCACACTGTCATTCCTAAGAGCTTTATGAGTTGGTGGCTGCCTTCATGCATTCTGCTGGGCTGGCTCTTTCCCTGCTGCTCATGCTGTTACTCTTGGTAGATGGTGGCACAGTGGAGGCCCTCTCTTGAAGCACCTGCCTTTAGGTAGGCCCCCTCCCTGTGTCCCCTTCTAGGCTCCACACTCCATCTTCCACCCAACACACACTCCCCTACTTGCTGCTGATCATGCCCAATTATATCTAAAGGGCAGTCCTGACCCCAAGTGACCTGGCTGATTCATACCCAGGCTGCTATTCAGCTTCTGTCTAAAAACCTAGTCTAGTTCTCCCTGGCTAACTAGAGGGGCACTGAAGTTAGAACCTTTGTCAGGTCTTTTCTGCTGTCAGGGAGACACAGCCTTCTCCTGCTATGCTCCAACACTCTGGAATTCACTTCCAAAGAACATCAGAGAGTCATCTTCTCTAAGCTCATTCAAATAAAATCTAAAAACATTTTTTTTTAGAAAAGCTTTCATGTAATTTTCCCTTTATTTTATCGCGTGTAGTTTTCTTTGCAAAGCGCTTTGAGAAGCTACCTATAAAGGTGCTATATAAATGTGGGAGATATTTACAAACACTTTTAGCATACCTCCCAACATTAGAACTTGAAAATAAGTAATGCCGTGATGGTTAGATGACATGGAACATGGATGTGGCTACATCGCACTGATTATTGAGTGTAGCTTACAGCATGACTAAAAATGTCACATTACTGGGAATAAAAAAACCACACCAGTGTTTGCTGGTCATAAAAAAAATAAATGCACCAACGATGGTGGTGAGTGATTTTTTGAAGCTCCTCTAATGTAAATTCTCAGCTTTTGATTTTGCTCTTGTCCTGACTTAGGCAATCTCCACCAAAATATAATGCTAGCTGTTCACCTTTCCATTCAAAACATAATTATAGGGGTTATGCATGATACAGTAAGCATCAGAAATTTTTCTTTATGTAAAATTCTTTAATCCTTTGCACACCAGGTTATGAGACTACCAAGAACTAATCAGGTTTTATTTTAAACAACAGTTGGTACCTTCTTCAGTCTGGTTATGCTTCTTCATTGTCCAGTCAGCAAGCTGTGAGCAGAGAGAAGACCAATCTGGATTTTGTAACTGTAGCACATATAAGTCAGTTCACCCACCCAGCTGTGCAGTGTGTTATGGGTGCATAAAAATGTTTTTTTAATATATTTTGGAAATTTAGCTTTAAATATTTTTACTGGCAAGTTTGCTGGTCCAATGCGAACTTGTATAAAATACACAGGTTACAAACTGAAAGCAGGAATAAACGTCAAACACCTCTATGTTAACCTGCCAAAGGAGACCCCGGAATTTGTGGTGCTCTAGTTTGGCAATAATGACCGCAGGTCCAGAGTTGGAGTTTTGTCCCAGCTCGCCCTGCCTCCCAAACTCCCTTTGTCACTGACTAGTATTAAGAGAAAGAAGGCAGGTGAGAGCAGTTAACTATAGAGCTAACAGTTACGGGGCTCTGCTGCATTCTCATTTCCCATGGGGAAATAAATTAAATTTGTGAAATAGTTTGATCATTTGGATAACGAAAGGATCCAAATTTAATTCCATTCCTTAATTCAGGTGCACATGATGTCAGTTGATAATGTCCAATCAGCTTATGCCATTTCTCTTGGTGGATTGGACTAGCGTCTAGAAAATATTGAATCTGTCCAATTTGATAATATAGGGAATATATAGCAATCTTTCGGAAAAACTGCAACATTTTTCTAATCTACCCATACCACAAAACAAATGCTGAAGCTTCAAAACAAATTCCGAAAACAAATCAGTTCAACATAATGAATATGACCAAATGAAATTCTTCAATGAGCGAATGCATCTGAAACAAAACAAAAAGTTTGGTATGCACATGTATGACTGACATTCTATTCATGGTATTCTTCATAACATGCAGACCAGCCTTGGAGATCAGTATCTCATAAATAGGTGCATGACTGAGGAACTCGGAAACCCACTAAAGAGTTTTTAATGGCAAGCTTTGTTGGGTGAAAAAATGCTGAGAAGTTTTAAACCACGTAATACTTCTCTAAAAAATCAGTGCACCCAAAACCGATATTTCAGGTTATGGTACAGTTATGCCCAAAAATATTGGCACCCCTGCATTTCTGTCAGATAATGCACCACTTTGCCCAGAAAAGTATTGCAAATACAAATGTTTAGGCATTCTTGTGTTTTTTTCTTTTGTTTCTATTGGTATGACACAAAAAAGTAGAGAAACAAAAAGCCAAATCTGACACATTCCACACAAAACTCCTAAAATGGACTGGACAAAAGTATTGGTACCCTCAATTTAATAATTGGTAGCACAGCCCTTGGAAAAAATAACTGAATTGCTTCTTGTAACCATCAATGAGTTTCTTACACCTCTCTACTAGGATTTTGCACCACTCTTCTTTCACCAACTGCTCCAGGTCTTTCAGATTGGAAAGGTTCCTTTTCCCAACTGCTGTTTTGTGATCTCTCCACAGGTTTCTATGTTATTTAGATCTGGACTCATTGATGGCCAGTTCAGTACTCTCCCACTTTGTCTTAAACCATTTCTGGGTGATTTTTGACGTGTGCCTTGGGTCATTGTCTTGCTGTAAGACCTATGACCTCAGATGGAGACCCAACGTTCTGAAACAGTAGAATGATGGGCTTTACCAAAAAGCTGTAATTTTATTTCATCTGTCCACAGCACAAGGATTTCAGGTTCCTGAGGTAAGTTTTGGCAAACTTCAATCTGGCTTTTTTTTTTATGTTTCTGTGTCAGCAGTGGGTTCCTCCTGGATCTCCTACCATAGGGTCCTTTTTCATTCAGATGGCGATGTATAGTGTGAACTGACACAGTTGTACCCTATGCCTGAAAGTCAGCTTGAATTTGTCTGGAAGTTGATCGATGTTCTTTAGCCACTATTCAAACAATCCTTTGTTGCAATCTTTGATCAATTTTTACCTTTCATCCATGTCCAGGGAGATTAGTTACAGTGCCATGGGCTGTAAACTTCCTGACAATATTGCACACAGTGGACACAGGAACATTAAGATCTCTGGAGATGGACTTGTAACCTTGAGACTGACCATGCTTTACCACAATTTTTGTTTTCAAATCCTTGACAATTCTTTGCTGCTCTTTCTCTTCTCCATGCTGCATTTGGCACACAGAGACACACAACAGAAAGGTTGGTCAATTTTTCACTATTTTAACTGGTTGCCAGTGTGATTTCTATATTATCAATGTCTGTTAACTGATACAGGTGAGTTTAATTACAAATTACAGGAGCATCACAAGCCTGGAATGCAATACGTCTTACACTTTTGAGGAGGTGGCAGGAACAATTGAGTACTGTCCGTGATACTTTTTTTATTTGCACTAACATACAATTTTGAGGACAAGCTTTGGGGAATGTCCCCTTCTTCGGGGTACATTCCCCAAAAGCTTGTCCTCAAAATTGTATGTTAGTGCAAATAAAAAAAGTATCACGGACAGTACTCAATTGTTCCTGTCGCAAATGCACTAATATGGCTACAATCACCTCAAGCAAAAAAGAAGGTGGCAATAATGTTGTCCAGTCCATTTTTGGAGTTTTGCATGGAATGTGTTAGATTTGGCTTTTTGTTTCTCCAATTTTGTGTGTCATACCAATACAAACAAATGAAATAAACATGAGAATGCCTAAACATTTGTAATTGCAACAATTTTCTGGGTGA